ACATCTCTAGCTAATTGGTCATGGATTCAGTCAAACTGCTTCAACCTAAAAGTACCTGTTCAACTTCTTCTTTACCCTGATCACAGTATCTTCATTTCTCTTGAATCGCCCACCTTCTTTGCTTACTCTTCTCTCAAGGGTCTTCATTTCTTTCTTATTATTTTTGTTTTGAGCACAACTTCACAACCACACCACTTACTTTAGCTTCTAATTGAACAAAAAGAGAAAGTTGTTTCCCACTTTTTGTCAGTGTTATTTCAATGTCATTCTATAACCTTGTAACTAAAAATGGAAATAATCACTCACAGGTCTGCTTTCAAACTATTAGCAAATGACAAAGGGGATAAATATTTGATATTGTGCCTTGCTTGTTTCAGTAACAAAAATACCCCAATCATTTTAAATCATCAGATTTTGAATATATGTTATGAATATACTATATGTTGGATTTCCGTGTTTTATTTTCAATTCCAGATAAGGTCATCATGTTCTGATGAGCAAGGATGAGTTTTAACATGTAGAGCCATGATTCTTTTTTGTATTTCAGGTACATCTAGGAAAATGTGAAAGTTTGCTTTCCCTGTTCAGGGGCAACTTACATGAATTCTAAATTAGCATTTTCTGGTTGATTAAGGATAATGAATTATAATGACTTCAGCTGGAAGTCAGCTTTTCAGAGTTACTGTACTTCTGAGAAGCTGAACCACAGGGGACACTTTTGCCACACATGATACACTTTACATGACATAACAAGGAAATGTGATGCCTAAATTAGGATTCTAACAATTAAATTTATCCAGGATTGAAAGTGAATACTGTAGGCAATGTTCCATTTCCAGTTTTTCCTACATTTCATATCACCAATATTAATAACTGGATGGAAATGCCAAAATTGAAAAATACATGTACCATTCTATAAAAACCTACTGTATGTAGGAGAGCTAGTTTGGACACAGTGATGACATCGCCCTTTCTGCACGTAGGGAGGTCTCATTTAGCTCATGCGGATGGTTCTCTGTTATGTTATGCTGGAGACCCAGGTTCGAGCCCAGGTGTTGTGGGACAAACCAGCAGCGTGGAGCAGCAAGGGTACGAGTTTAAAGAAATCCACTGTAATCCAAGGTAACCAGCTACAATAACAAATATTTGCTTCCCATCAGGTTTTCTACCTTTAAGCACTTCACCAAAGTAAAATAATATTATTTACTCTGATTATTAATTATGCAGCTCAAACCGATTACCTTGTTTAGGTATGTTATGAGAGGGTGCAATATTGTTATAAGCAATATTTACTTCTATAAACAATATTTATTGGACTTCTTGTTTCAGTATTGAATCACAAAAAAGGGGACAAGAAACATGCACTGATTTTTTTGGACATTATGTGTTTTCAGAACACATATCCACTGTTTGCAGAGAAAAGGCACAGAGATTCCCATTATGAATGACATTGTTGCAATGCCAAAGATCACTGACAACAGAAAATAAACCCTAATAGGAACTCTGCTATATGTGAAATCACTAGGACATTCAGGGATGGTACACCTACATTCACTAGGTGTCAGCCTAGTAAACTTTCAAACTTTCCTTGGGAGAAAACTACAATGATCTTTGCATTCAAAGGTTTCCAGGTGTCTCTCTTTCAAAGAGATGGTCAACTGCTGTACATTAAATGACCACAAGTGGGATTAGTACATTCAGAGGAACCGCTTAATGAATCCCTTTTATGCAGCAACAACTACTGTATAAATGCAAATACAAACAGATGCAGTACCAAAAGCCCTAATGACCATTGAGGCCATAAGGTTAGTCAGAGCTGCTGGTATTGCAAGCAGGAAACCCCTAAAGTGGTCATGTCTTTACCATAGCAGAATGATGGTTACTCCCATCACAGCAAGAGTGATTCAGCTTGTTCTGCTTCAGTCTAGAATTAACGTCGGGCACTGCACCACCAAATCTACACCCAGTCAAGCACCTTCTTAAGCATGCAACACATACATCAGTGTGAGCCTCTGTCAAATAACATCATTGACCTGACAGCTGCTGTACGGGAGCATCCCTGTGAATCATGTGCATTGTCTGTTACAGTATTTGCGTGTTCTCATTTATGTAAGTATTGTACAAAAGAAAGGTTACAAATGAGAAGAAGATCATCTGTCCTGATTAGTAAATAGTAACTAATCTGAGAATTTCTGTGATTCTGATAAGAAATCGGGATATCAACTTCAACCACATGGATGGGTAGCTCGTTACATACTCGCACTACCATTTGGGTAAAGAAGTACCTCCTGTTCTTTGTTTTAAATACACCTCCATGTATGTGGTGTCCACTTATGTCCTCTGGTTTGTGTAGGCTTTGTCAAAGCCTTTGAGGATTTTGAATACTTGTACCATGTCCCCTCATAATCTTCTTTGTTAAAGACTAGAAAGTTTCTGTTTCTTCAACCTGTCATCACATTAAGTCTCAGCATGAACAGTACATGATTGCTCTTCTCTGGATTGATTCTACAGCAGCAATATATTTCCTATCATATGGTGACCAACATTGTGTACAATATTTTAACAGACAAACTGGTATCAGTAATGGACTCGAAGTAATGGACAAACCACTTATCACTTATGTGCAGTAGGTGTATTTGGCTTGAATATATTGCGGCATATACAGTACAGTACATCTCCCAATACAAATACGAAAATCCAGAACTTCACAGTACAGAATAACATTCCTTCAAAATTTTTCCTTGAGTACATGGTGGCAAGCCTAAGGCACTGCAGTTGGGAATGTGTCTTTTAATCATACTGTATGTGGTTAAAAGTTTGGAAAATGGTAATGTTCCAAAATAAGCAAATCTGTTGCTTTCTCTGTTTTCTCTAAGTTAAAAAGAAGCTGCTGTTGTGCTGAACAGTAAGTCATCATGTATAAAGAGAAGGAAAGAGAAGGGTGGATGTGAATGAAGCATTCCTAGCTTAGCCATGCCAGGGATGAATGCAGAAGGAATAAATGGCTTTTTAGGCTGGGAATTTGGGATGCTGCTGTGAGACTTCTGTGAGAATGATGTAAGCGATTGTAGAAAGAGTACTATGAATGATTGACGTAAAGCAGCTGCTGAGAGGCTGAATAATGGAGCCGTTCTGCTGCACAATTTTACTGCCTCCTGCTCCAACACTTGTTTAATATTTTGTTTACATCATTGATAACATTGGGCCAAATGTTGCTTACATCTGAGGCCAAAAAAAAGCATTCTAGACTACACAGATCTTAATACGTATCTTTAGGATGTTTCATTTAAAAGAAATGAACATATCATTTATTTCAATTAAGATATTGTAAAATGCTGAAATTTTGAGAAGATTTTTTTTTACTTAAAATGTATCAAATATACATACCTATTGAATTCCATTCTCAAAAGAGCAGCAAATTAATCTTTTTTAGAAGTGATGAGTCACAGTCAGCCATTTTATGTTAGGTGAAAAAAGATTGATTCATTGATTGGGAAGGTAATGTTTTCCATTCAAATTAGCTAATTATTGCTACACAATGAATATTTTGAATTCAGTCCAATCTCAACATAACGAAGGTGGGTTTTTTTTACATAATAGTATTCACAAGAAGGAAATAAATTTCTAAAATCATTGTTACATCATTTTACTGTTCAACTGGGAGCATAAAAGTAGCAAAAACATATTTTCAATTTAATGATCAAAGTCAGAAAATAGAATGCCTTTGAATTTACTTTTTGCTACAATATCTAGAATTGTTTTAGGGTTTAGAGTGACAACAATCTCTCAGATGTCAATCTAAGTTGGCAGCATTCGTTTTCATATAAAAACGTACAGTATCAATACAGAAACTACTGTTGAAAATTAGTTGAACCTTCAGATGCATTTTCATGGCTTTTTACACAATCGTATGATTAAGATATCAGTATAACACCATTATAGTTCTATGTTTTACACTGTAGATCATTTCAAAACAAGACAAGTGTCAAGTTCAGAAAACTATAGCCGTGAAGCCCTGTGAAGTGTTAATAAAGCTAAACATAGCTAATCCTGGTTTGTCACATTAGTTTAGCATTGAGATATTTAATTGAACTGCTTGCATTAAAACTCAGTACTAATCCTTTAACATTTATTACTGCTGAAAGTCAACAGCAATACAGTACATATTAAATCTAAATCACAGAAATTACATAACAGGAATAGATTAGTAGTTCCCAGTTGCATTTTTACAATACACGTCCCCGGTAAAATATATGCAATAAACCGGGAATAAATAAGAAACCACTAACTACACGCTCGAGCTGATTGTACATTGTGAAGAGTTAATTTTCGTGTTTCAAGTATATTGTCATTTTAATTTGTCTCCCTACAGAGGTTGTCCGAGCCTTTCTTCCCATTGAAACAGAGCACAAAATAGACGCTAACCCAGTGGCATTATCTCGAACTCCTGTTGCTTGCCGCCGATCTCCTCGGGCAGCATCAATCTTGATCGATGGACACTTTAAAATCCACTTCAATAGCAGCATAACCCTTGCACCTGCTTTTGCTTTTGTTCGTCTTAGCCCTCTGTCTCTGACATCAATAACCAATACAGAATCTAGTTTTCGTATTGATCAGCGCTAATTATAAATAATTATCTTCTGTCATTACGCACTATCAGCAAAGCAGTACAACGCAAAACAAATGATCATTATTATTATTTAAAGGCACATATCTTATCGATCTCAAGGCACTGCATGAGGCCGATTAAGGTCGAAAAACTCAATTTCTTAATCTCACTGTCACTACAATCCCTGAATTGTACAACTGAATTGATCTTCGAAGGCAGATATTTTTCTTTATAATTTTTAGAGCAACTGGACGAATATGAATAGGTATAAGACCCGGTAAACGGGTATATAATCTCAATCCTTTTACAAGTTAAACGGTAATATTATAACAGGTAAAAATGTATCTACTAGTCGCATCACTAAGAATAGACAAGAAGTGTTAGCACTCACCCGGGATTGCAAGGTTTGTTAAAGGGGTGCTGTGGATGTTCTCCGGTAAACTTGCCATCCAGTCTGCGAATCTGAGTTCGTTTTTCCCTTGAGATGAAGCCATCGCGCTCTTACCCGTACCTCGCTCACTCTGCCAGTTGTGTGTTGTGTGTTGTGTTTATTCCTCTTGCAAAGAGTTCACACCACACTACGAGTGGAGCCACACCCACAGGATGGCGCAGGCACATGCTAATTTCAAATTAAGCATCCTTATGCTCTTGCAATGCCCCTGTATACAGTTGTGCCACCTAGAATATTCTGTCTGATACTGTACAGTATATCTTAAGATAGTTCAAAAAAGGATTGTTAGAGCCGTTTCAGCTAAAATCTTCGTTTTAATTCTACAATTCATGTGCACATGGATTCACAGGTTTCAATTTACGACTGCTCATATTCATTTGGGGAGATGAGAAAAAAAATCCGAAACCTTCTCCTTTTACATTGCTACCGTACAGTATATACTGTACAGTACACGATTTTCTTAAAAGTAATTGATATGACAGCCGGTTACTCGTAACGTACTTCAAGTGAAAATGGTCTATAAAACTCATTTCGTAAAAAAGGAGGAGTTCTAGAAGCTGGTAGGGTTTGATGTTGGCAACCAGTCTTTAATCATTTTTTATTGTAACATCTGAACTGACGCGGGTTGAATAATTTGCTTTGATCGGAGCACGGTTCAAACAATGAGCGCTAGTCTCTCTACCACGTTAGTGGCGCTGTCCTTTAGAGGTAGTGCTGAATTTTACGGACAACGCATTGCCAAACACTTTGTAGTTTATTTTTGCATCATATGTTTTTGACAGGGCAGAGTGCAGTATTATGGTACATCATAAAAACGTTTTGTATTCCTTAAACCCTCCCCCTGTTGATAAATAGAATAATTCTCCAGGCGCTTTAAATGTGGCTTTCCCAAATGATCAAATTCCTGGATTATCCGGGCGCTCAATTCCCGGTACTGTTCACCTGGTGAGATTGGGTTTCAAGCGCTTCCGTTGACAGATTTTTTTTTTTATTTTGAAAACGCAAAATGATTATTTTTATACCAACACTCATCGGTTTTATTTCTGTTAGTATTAAGTCATGCAATCTATCAATACAGTACATATATGTCCAGAATACATTTATACACATTGGGCACAGCATAGTGTAGGTTTTTGTGAGAAATATTCATCTCACAAACATTCATCTAGCCCAGTAAACACTATTCTGAGAAGAAAAATAAAATGAGAGTGCACATAGCAAACATTATTCCCGTACCCACGTTCTTCTAATATTATTTTAGATATGAAAATAATAGATTATTTTTATTATCATGACTACCTGGTTTACCTGATAATCGTATTCAATTTTTATGTATAAATTCACGAACATTCACAGGCTTAGCCAGACCACTAGGTTAAATCTAATAATTAATATACGATATTTTGTGTTTCTCATATTTTCCTGCTTTCTGTACCAGTACTGTGAAGAACACAACGGAATTAATTTTGAATTTAACTGCTTAGTTTTTCCCAACAGTTCACCATAGCTGTACGGTTTTGCATTTAAAAGAAATGGAGATCAATTTTGATAAAAAGTGGTGAAATTCACTTTTCCATACCTTCCCCTATTAGTCCTGCTCTGCAAATTTACTTTTAACTCACACTGTGGCAACTCACAGTCACAGTTTTTATATTAATTTGATATACCAGAATGTTTACTTGAATATTATGGGAGCTTGATATTATGTAGGGAGCTTGATACACTAGTGTGTACACTAGTATTTGAATAATGCGTTACATTTACCCATCCATTAATTTTAATAATAATAATTGCTTACACTTACAGTATACTGTATATCACTTTTCTGGACACTCCACTCACCCCACTCCATTCAAAGTACTTTACAGGTAATGGGGACTCCCCTCCTCCACCACCAATGTGCAGCCCCACCTGGATAATGTGACAGCAGCCATAGTGTGCCAGAATGCTCAACATACATCAGCTATCAGTGTGAAGGAGAAAAGAGTGATAAAGCTAATTTATAGAGGGGATTATTAGGAGGCCATGGTTGGTAAGGGCCAATGGGAAATTTGGCCAGGATGCCGGGGTAATGCCCCTACTCTTTTCAAGAAACACCCTGGGATTTTTAATGACCACAGAGAGTCAGGACCTGGGTTTTACATCTCATTTGAAAGATGGCACCTTTTTAGAATATAGCGTCCCCATCACTATACTGGGGCATTAGAATCCACACAGACCACAGGGTGAGTGCCCCCTGCTGTCCCCACTGACAAAACTTCCAGGACCAACCTTAGTTTTCCCCAGGAGGCCTCCTATCCAGGTACTGGCCAGGCACACACCTGCTGAGCTTCAGTGGGCTGCCAGTTGTGAGTTGCAGGGTGATATGGCTGCTGGCTGACCTAACTTTCTGATTTTCTAAGCTTTATCCAGTTCAGAGTTGCAGGGGTGCCAGAGCCTTTTCCAGAAAACAACAGACACTAGGCAAGATCCACCCTGGATGGGACACCAGTCCATTGCAGAGCGCACACAGACACACACACACTCACACCAGGATCAACCTGCCAGTATGTCTTGTATGACTGGAACAGTTACATTTATCCCAAGCAATAATTTATAGTACACATGAAAGTTTTCTTTTTTTATGGAACCATCCAAATGCCTTCACTAGAACTTCAGGAAGCTTCTGAATATGACAGTAGAGATGAATGAGATTAATAGACTCACCTTAAAGCCTTATAATAAAATAGTTAATTTTGCATAGAACTAGAGAGGCAGTTGTTAGCTGAGTCAGATATTACTTCTTAGCCTGAAGGTAAGATATTTATTATATGTGACACTAATTATCCTGATCACTGGGATTTTCACAAAATGTAAGCTAAGCATAAAAAACAGATTCTAAATGATCATACCCCCCACACACCTATTAAGAAGATACATCATGTTATTTCATTTGGTTCCCTGATAAACTGTTGTTCTCCCACTTTGTGTGGCAGGTTTCTCAGAGGTTGCCGAAGCAGGTCCCTTATCAAGGCCCTGATGTGCTGGTGCAGACAGTTTGCTGCCTCTTCTGTTTTATTCTTGTGCAGATTTATGGCCTTGTCTGCTCGAAAGCCAGAGGGAAAGGGCAACTCTTGAAACCGTCAGCATCATTCAGGCCCAGAATTACAATGACAGAAGATCATTCCAGGAAAATAAAAGTCCAGGAACAAGTAAGCTGTGTTAAACAGGATGGGTCAGCAGTTTTGTAATATGAAATACACCCAGTCAATAACTACAGTACATGCAGGCGGAATATTATACCAGACATTTGTATCTTTGGATTAACAAAAAATGTATGGGACCATCATAGACTCACAGATTCGGTTTCAATTTCATTCATTGTATACACCTAGATAGGGGCTATAACTTTCAAGAGATAACAGAAGTACTGGTTCAAGGAATGTTCACTCATGCTGTATTTTTCATAACTTACACACAACAACCATCCATTCATTTCCTAATCACTTCCTCCAATTCAGGGTTGCTGGGGAGCTGTAGCCTATCCCAGCCAACAAAAGGCAGGATAATGGGTGGGGCATAACTGGGACACACACACAAACATGCACACACTAAACACTTACACAGAGCCAGTTTTCTCACAAGCCAATTAACCTACTAGTCTTTATTGTGGGAGGAAACCGGAGCACCTGGAGAAAACCCACGCAAACAGGAAGAGAACATACAAACACCATCCTAGACAGCACTTTAGGTCTGGAATCAATCCAGGGTTCCAGGACAGCAATGATAGCTACTGAACTGCTTTTCTGCACCACGTACAACAGTCATAAAGATAAATGACTATGTTCAATAAACAGGGATAAAATGTAAGTTTATATATTATGTTATCATAAATTAATTTTTCATAGACAAAGTGGGGAGTATGAAAGACACACCTGAGGACAGAATTATAATGCCTTACATAGCCTTGCATTTTTTCATTTTTACTAGAGCATTCTTTATTTTTTGTTTTTGCTTTTTGTACTTCTGTTATGTGTCCACCAAGTGGGGAGTATGAAAGACACACCTGAGGACAGAATTAAAATGCCTTACATAGCCTTGCATTTTTTCATTTTTACTAGAGCATTCTTCATTTTTTGTTTTTGCTTTTTGTACTTCTGTTATGTGTCCACCAAGTGGGGAGTATGAAAGACACACCTGAGGACAGAATTATAATGCCTTACATAGCCTTGCATTTTTTCATTGTTACTAGAGCATTCTTCATTTTTTGTTTTTGCTTTTTGTACTTCTGTTATGTGTCCACCTCATTTAAATGTCTATTTCGAGGATGTTTTTGATGTAAAACGGTATAAATGCTACAGATACAAAAATTAGTAGTCAAACTTTGCATGTACTGTTACAATATACTGTATAAAAAATTGCATGTGAAGGCTTGTAAATAAGAACATTTACCGAAATGCTATTCTGTAATTGCAAATTTGAAAGAGACTGTTCAAAGTATGTCTTTTTAGGCAGATTTTATTTTAGAGCAGACTTTTACTTGGGAATAAATATCTTACAGACATTTACAAACAGCCACTTTTATAAGGTGTTTTACACAAACAATAGAACACAAAGGCAGTATGCTTCTGTGCATTAATCACTTATCATTTGTGATCACAAAACTCTTAGCTATAAAAAACAATAATAGAGAAATAAAAGAGTCAACTCCTTTCATTTGCTAACTTTTGTTCATATGATGCATTTGTATCTTCTCTGTTTTGTTCATATTATCTCTGTAACGGAGCTGTTCATTTTAATTTTACAGTACTGCATGCATTTTCAAATTAAGGTTATAATACATCAAAAAGCTTAAAAAAGTTTCATCTGCTTGCTTTCGGCATATAGAAACAATTAATAGAATCAATCTAGGGAGATTGTGTCCTTCTTATTTAGCTGAATCATTCCTATTTAAAAATACAAAATCACACAAATTGTGTTTCAATTTGGGAATTGCTCACTGTCATTGCTAATGATGTTCTTATAAGGCCTCTTTCACAGGAATGTCTTAAAAAATGGCACATGTAAAACGTGTGTAAAAACAAAATGCATGTGTGTAAACACCATCTCACAATATGCATCTAATAGCCATACTGTACATTAATCTATCTTCAAAAGATAATACTCCTTAACTTATTAGTATACTATCAATATAGTAGTTCAGGTGGGTAGCTGCGTCAGCATGCGTAGGCTGCAAAGGAACAAGTAATAGGTTTATTCCATGCTGAAAAAAAGAAGAAAGAGAACACAACGTTTCGGCCGTGGAGCCTTCTTCAGGTGTGACACCTGAAGAAGGCTCCACGGCCGAAACGTTGTGTTCTCTTTCTTCTTTTTTTCAGCATGGAATAAACCTATTACTTGTTCCTTTACTATCAATATAGCCAGGTGTACTCTACCTAATGGCTGACATCAGCCAAAAGGTAGCACAGCTCTCACAATAAGGAGAGGAAGATCATAAGGTGCACCTGAAGATAAAGTTGTTTTTACAGAAATGATCCTATAATTATGAACCATTGTCTTAATGAAAGGAGCAGATATTAAGGAGGTTGGAG